GGCACCTGCCACGATGCCCAGCTATTTTTTGGTTGTAGTTGTCATTGTTGTTGAGCAGGTCTGGGCTGGGTTCAAACGTGACAGCCCCAGTGTATGTGGCAGGCAACCTAGCCACTGAGCTACAGGTGCCCAGCCAAGGGGGAAAGGTTTCTAACCAGCCCATTTTAAGAACGCTTGTGTTTAATGGCTGCATCTGCTGGACAGAATCTGCACTGCTTGTTTTTATTATGAGTCACAACATAAGCAGGGACAGACTAACAAGTTGCCAGAAATACCCCAGAAAACTTCCAGGGAAGTTGGCCCAGAGATGAAACTATTTTTAGCTGAGTGTGCTGGAAGCGGTGGATGGCTCTGATCCTCCAAGCTTTGCCTTTCTTTGTCGCTCTGCCACTTACTGCTCTTGCCCTTCATGTGGAAATTTCATTCTCTGGAAAGTCCCTTTGGCTCTCAGCTACAACCAATGGGTCTAGTCTAGCAGTTGATTTTGCAGTGCAAGGCCCTGTAATGGAGGCCCTCTTGTCTTCTGCCATCTGGTTTTACTCAGCCACAGAAATGTAGCCATCTCCATGTAAAAAGGAAATCTACACCAGGCTGCTTAGCTTTGGATTTGGAAAGCATGGTTCTTTACCTTGCAATTCCACTTTCCTATCTATCTGGGATTTTTCTAACACATCCCATGGGAGGTCTCTGACATCTTGGGTTATTCCAGCTGCCCTGTCAGTGGTGGTAGATGGTGTCCTTTTGACTCGTCTTCTTCACACTAGTGACTCCTAAGACTTAGAGAATCCTGAGGAGTTGACTACAGAGAGATCCAATTATCTCAAAGAGAACGCATAGCAGTCTTCCCTCCCGACTATTTTCTTACTGTGAATACTTTACCCTAGAAATCTTTCTTGACTTCGCTGAGGCGAGCATTCAGCTGTGTCTGTGATCCTCAGCCTACTTTTGCCACCAGGGAAAAAGTTTCTTGTTCCCCATTCATAAGTTTTGTATTGTTCTTACCGCCTAGTGAAAACAACAGGGTTATTAGTCATTTGACTCAAAGGCCCAAAATGTCCAGACTTTCAGAGCTATAATAACTCTGAGATAGCACACTCACACAAACTTCAGCTTTCCCAGTGCCCTGGGTTTTGGCTCCTAAACAGAGGCTCAATCCACCCTTGTTATTGTTAATCAGATCTAACTGGTTCAGCTTTTAGCACTGAGAATGTCATGAGAGGAAGAGAATCTTCCTAATGAGTGTTCTGAAGTAACCATCAGTTTTCTGGTTATAGCTCTCTAATCTGATTAGGTTTAAATGCATCAATGACTTTGTTTCCAATGCAAAGAGGGCACTGGTGGCCCATGGCATGATGTGGCAATAGAGGTAGGCAAATTATCACCCCTAGATGCTCCCAATCAAATAGTTATAAAAGGTAATGCCCTGGGTGATCATGTATTTGATACCTTAGAACATCTTAGTTAAGCTGAAGAGTGTAACAAAATGGGCTGGTTGTTCCTAACTGTACTGGGAAAAGTGGGGTAAGAAAATATGAGCTTAGGACTTCAGATTATCAGTTCAAGATCTTCATAAAGACCTGAAAGATCTCTGTCTTCCCTGAAAGATATCCTTGTATCCTATAACAGTGCAGTTTCAACTTCTGTAAAATGAAAAACCAATTAAAAAAACAAAATGGAACAAAACATTCCATATTCCCATTCTTCAAGTGCTGAATTACAACGTAAATTGAATTCCTTACCTCTGAGTGTGTCTTTTGTTAAAGTGAGGACATTGGTTGAAAAATAATGGGATCCTGAAAATTAGAATGGGGACATATGGGAAGAACTCAATCAAGCCAGGAACAATAAAACCCTGAGCTCTTCTGCTGAGCTCTTTTCTTGCCACTAGAAATAGTCTTCTGCTGTCAGGGTAGCAGTCTGTCTTTGGTTCTTGGTGTACTCTTGGCTAAAGAATGACCAGACACATCAAAGCATCAAGTTTAGCCTCCTGATCCTATTATCCAGGTTCTCTAGCTCTTTAGGAGGGAAAGATCACCTGTGAGGCCAACAGAACAGAGTGTTCACAAGAACAATCTCACACAAGCAGTTCCATATTATAAAATGGGCCAACCCTCTCTCCAGAAGCAGGGAGAAACAGACTGACTCACTCCCTTACTCACTGATCCTCTCAGGTTGTTTCCTTTTATTGGCCTAGCCCTGGGGAAGGTTCTTGGGAGGTGTAGGATGTAACTAAATGATCAGTTCCATCTGCATATATGAGCTCTCTCTTTCCAAAAGCCCATCTAGAGGGGATGAAGGGAATTCCCAGATTGACAAGGTGTTCTCTCCTTTCTCAGGTATACCAGTGCTTGGGATAGGATTAAGTGTGGGACAATTCCTCATCCTTCTTTCCAGGTGGAGCTTTTCCCTAAAAGAGTTGGAGACCCTAACGCTACCACTGTCTATGAAGGTCAGACCTCATTTGCTTGAAGAAGCTGTAGTGACCTTGCTGGGAAAGATGGGTGCTAGGTCTGACTTGAGTCAGGAACACAGACAATCATGATCCCACAATCAATTCCCAGGATTGAAATAGAACTCTGTCAGTTAAGGGAGAGGGAAATGGCTAAGTCTGCTGAGGAAGGGTCCTGTTCAACTGGCAAAATTTATATGTTAATAGTTATGACTTTTCCCCCACCCTTCCTCAAAGAGATATATAATCACTTACTTTGGTGACTATTCTGTGGATAAAGGGAAATAATTATATTTTGGCCAGGCTACTGGCACTTGCTCTGAGTTGACACTATTTGCAGGAGACCCCAAACATCACTGTATTATAGTACCTAAACAGGGGCTTATAGAAGTCAATGGTTTTGAAAATAGAATTGAGATGCAGAAAATGTTTTGGAATTAGCTTGTTGAAGAATAGATGAAAAAGAATTCCAGGTATAGGGAACAACTTTTGCCCAGGCATTGTGGTGAAAAAGGGCATGACAATTTGAGTTCCTAAAACTAGTCTCCTGTGGAGGTTTGGGTTTGGTGTAGGAAGAGACTGGATAAGTAAGCAGGGGTTGCGAGACCTAACAGGGACTGCTAGGTCCTGCTATGGAGTTTGGTGTTATTCTCAGGAAGACATTGAAAGATTTTAAATGGGAGGCTGTATTGTTGGTATGTTCTTGAGTACCACTCTTTGTAGAAAATGATTAAATGGGGTAAAGGCAGAAGAAGAGGACCTTGTTATTGCAGTTACTTAGTATCTTAGTACCTTTATACAGTATTAAGATCATGAAAGTGGTGAGGGAGAAATGAGGACAACTTGAGAAATATTTATGAAACAAATCGGTAAGTTGTGGTGATAAGAAAGAGAGAGTAGGGCACACCCTAGAGGTGAGAGAGAGTGATGCCAACTGGTTTATAGATTGCATAATTTTCTGGTACAGCATGCCATTTACTGAGATATGGAGCACAGGAAGATGGCTCCTTCTGTGAGAAAAACTAACAGATTGCTTTAATTCACTGAGTTTCAAATAATTGTGCAAATTTAGATTTGACATGTTAAATAGGCAAGATGGTAGGCAGGTCTGGTTATCAGAAAAGATTCATTTTTGCTTTTGTTTTTTTTTCCATGTGTTGACACATGGGTATCCTAGATGAACTAATAGTTCTTTTTTTTTTCCATTTTATCTTTAACTCATTTGAGAGCTTGCTAGAAAATTATTTTCTGTTTCCTAGAGTTATTATTCTTCTGTAATACAGGTATCTATTGCATTTACTTTTTACTTTTCCTTTTTTGGAGAGGTTTGGAAATGTAGATGCACTGATTTCTTTTAAATTTCCATTTATCCTTGAAAGGGAACAATTATGTCTGACCCTCTTATTTCCTTAGAAGTTATGTGAAAAAAGATAACCTAACCTGGAGGAAGTAAGATTCCATTAAAATAATATTTTAGATGACTGTTCTCTCTGTTCTGGTTTATTGTTTGCTGAGAAGACATGCCTTTTCTGCATTTCTATACTTTTCCCTTTGAGTGTGAGTAGGACAAACTTGAGATTCTTAGTAAAGTTATTCATTGTACAATTTCTCCATGCAATAGTTTATCATTTATTCTTTCAGAACATTCTTGTTAGACACTTTTTGGTTGGTCTCTGTTTCCTCTTTCTTGTCTATTAAAATTGAACTCTAGTAGTGGAACAAAGGTCTCTTTTCAATTCCTAATTCCATTCTTGATTTGGTTTATTGTTTTCTTCACCTGACAGAATATATAGTTCATTATTTGGGGTTACATTGGTCACACTGAAAACAGTTCACTTTTTTCCTGGTGGTGGTTATAAATTTTATGAAAGTAAAAAAAAAAGTGGGGTTTTCTACCTCAGAAGTCTCAACAGCTTCCCTTTTGTAAATCCTCCCAGATGGCTGATGTTGAACCAGAATTGTAAAGCACAGCTAGTTATTGAGTTTGCCAAAACTGAACCATTGACTAACTTGTGATTCTAACTTACTAAATCTTATGCTGAGAACCCTATGTGATGTTTATGATTTAACATATACATCATGGTCTTATCAATTAGAAGGTTTAAGATAGTGTCCAATCTTTGTTTAGAAAAGCTTCAATTTAAATTGAGTCAGAGTTTGTTTGCTAAATATTAGTTCTCCTTAATAAAGAACTAAACAATATTCTTTTCCTCACACCATCATCCTTAACTTTAGCTACTATATCTGGCATTAGCATTGCAATGAACATAGGAAGTAAAATAAGATATTTAATCTCTTACATTTTAAAATGGAATCTGGTAAGAAACAAGAATCTCTTGTTAAAAAGCAACAACAAAACCTTGCGTATATAACACCAAAGGAATTTCTCCTTCTTCTACCCAAAAAGTCTGAAGGAATCATGTAGTTCAACAATTCATTCAACCATTATATGAATATATTTAATAGCACATAAAATTAAAAAAAGTTATGTACATTTGCCAAGTTTATAGTAGAAGAAATCTCATTGTAAATGGGATAGATGCTATCATCTTTAGGTGTTAAATCTTACCATATCAATAAAGTCTTGAATCACCATGAGATGGGAATTTTTCTTGGTGCATTCATCTTGACTTCTGTCCCAAGTTTCCTTAGTTTCAGCAACCCAGTAACATTTCCCCCCAAGCAGCTTCCAGTCTTTTGTGGGGCAAGATTTATGGACAGTGGAAGGGTTAGAAGAAACTGGGAGAAAAAAAAGACAAGCAATTAAAGGAAACATAGAACTGTATCTTAATCATATATATAGATTAACGACACTCAAATTTGTGTATGAGTGCTAGGATTCTAAGACCAAGCTTTGTTTTGCCAAAAGGTGTGGGAAGGAATCTATGAGACTCTAAAGAATCTTCAAAAGTGCCTCAAGTTATCTAAATCACAAGCAAACATATTAAAATGAAATATAAATAAGAAGATTTGGCAACACAAATCTCTTTGTGTTTGATATTTAAATAATTACATGCATTACAAGTAACAATGTTTAAATTATTTTAAAGAACAAAAGAAGAAATAAAAGATGATAATAAGAGTCTATCGAAAGCGAGTATGTTTGAAAATAAGCTTGAGCTCACGGGTTCGAGACCAGCCTAAGCAAAAAGAGAGACCCTGTCTCTATTAAAAATAGAAAAACTGAGGCAAGAGGATCACTTGAGCCCAAGTTGGAGGTTGCTGTGAGCTATAATACCATAGCACTCTACTGAGGGCAATAGCTTGAGACTCTCTCTCAAAAAAGAAGGAAACAAAAAAAGTCCTTGTATCAAAAACTATAATAATTGAAATTAGAAACTCAGTGCGTATTTTAGCAGATTACAGATTATTTGGGAACTGAAAGATATATTTAAAATTATTACCAAGAATTTAGCACAAATTGACAATAATAAGGACAAATCAAGAGGTTACATGGAAAGAAGAGAAAGTAAAAGCCCAATGAATGTCTAATTTGTGTCCCAGAAAAAAAGCAGAAGGTTGAGAATGAATTTGGAATGATGGCTAAATAGATCTTTTAAGTTTTACTTCATATAATTTGTCTATTTAGCTATTTTATTAAGATCAAACACATTCAGATTTGTTATAATTTTCCAGCGAATTCAAACTAAGACTCTAGGACAGGTGCCTTACTTATCTATAACAGCAGAATGAGGATTAGATAATAGATCTGATGGAATGTAAAACTAAAGGTTTTATTTATTACTGCTCTGTATCACATATACAAAGGCTGCAGTAATGTGTTTTTGCTTTGGGGATAATACCTCACAAAGTCTCACCAGATAAAGAAATACATTAACATATGTTGTATGAAATAGTTTTTAGATTGTGATTGAGATGCGGCACCCATAGCTCAGTGGTTAGGGTGCCGGCCTTGGGCAGGGGAGTCTGGTGGGTTCAAACCCCACTTGGCCAGGGCATGCTAAACAATGATGACAACAACAAAAACAAAAAATAGTTGGTCACTATGACAGGTGCCTGTAGTCGCAGCTATTTGGGAGGCTGAGGCAAGAGAATCACTTAAGTCCAAGAGTTTGAGGTTGCTGTGAGCTATGATGCCACAACACTCTACCAAGAGTGAAAGTCTGACAAAGTGAAACTGTCTCAAAAAAAAAAAAAATTGATTGTGATTGAGAGGTGGAGAAACATTAAAATCCAACGTAAAGTCTTGGTGAGTTCCCAGAATTTGAATGTACTTTATAATATGGACACAGTGAATAAGTCTTTCTAATAGAATTATATCTGGATATTCCAAAAAAAGAAAGATATGTATGAGGTCAAACAGTTAAGTTGGTGAACTCATCCTATAAGAAGTGCTACATATGGCGGAGCCTGTGGCTCAAAGGATTAGGACGCCAGCCCCATATGCCAGAGGTGGTGGAGCCTCGGCCAAAAACTGCAAAAAAAAAAAAAAAAAAAAAAAATGCTACCTTCCTGATTGCTGAGTATCTATTATCACTTTTGAGGCACTCCCTTTGAGAAGCCATGTACCAATGTCAACACTGAGGCTACCCACCCTTTAATTTTGGTATTCCTTTTCTGGAATGGCCAGCAGAGTTGTTGTATGAGGTCTTACAATTAAGTTTTCAAACACATTCTAGAAAAAGTGCTACCTATCACATTGCTGAATATCCCATGGCCACTTTTGAGTCCTCCCGTTTGGTCATCTAATGACTGTAGTGATACTCAACAATGAAGTATGTAGCATTTTTCCTAGAATAAGTTCTTGAACTTAATTGTACAACTTCATAGTATCGTTCAGTACATAATTGAAATGTATATTAATAGATTAAAAACAAGTAATCTAAAAAAATAGAAAGGCCTTCTAATGAGTATTTTTAACTTTTAAAAGTATGACAGAGCAAGAGAAAGACTAATACAATTATTTAATTTTTTGGCCTATAGTAACATTAAAAAATTAATGCAACTACCTATAAAGACCACAGATTTTAAGAAGGAAAATATCTAAACCCCATCCTGCACCTGCACATGTCCCAGTAGAAAATAAATAAATAAATAAATAAAATGCAGTTACTTCAATGAACTGCCTTTAAATTCATTGAAAATTCATTAAATATGCTTTATTTTTTCCATTTTGCTCTGGGCCTTTAAAACTTTAGTTCATAGACTATGATGACTTGATGAAAAGCAATGATCTAATGCTAACTCCTCCCTCTGCACAAGTAGAAGAGTCTCTCCTGTGTTCAGATAGTCTCAGGAAAAATTAAGGCTACTCTTCATGCTTGATTACTCAGGAATTAGGCAAAACAAAATGATATTACCTCTTGAGGAGATTGTTCCAGATTTATTTCCCCCGGCACAGGGTTTTGCTTTTTCTTCATTATCCACTTGCAAATGTCTTGCAGAATGAAACTGGACAACTAATAAGAAGAAACATATTTTCCTAATTAAATACAAAGCACAATGTGGAAATTTCATAGTAAGTTAAATGATTAAAAATTTAAGGGGAAAAATCACACTATTTTTTCCCCTCAGATTTGGAGTTTCCTTTGCACTCTTATGAATCTTGGTAATGTTAGTGTTAGGAAAATTGAAAAAATATGTCCTGAGAACACCGGGATACTCACTTGAGTTCTTTATTTTTGTAAGCACAAGATCTCCAGCTTGGATAAGAACTTTATTTTGATAGTTGGTGTCTAGTGCACCCCTACAAATTATATCAGATGTCACATGTTTGATGAAAAGAGTTTCATATGCTTTAGTTTTGGTTTATGATATTGTTTCTTTTGAATTTCTGTATGTAGAGTAATCCAGAGTAGATTTTCTACAGTGAAGAAAATATTTGTCTTTCTGATGTACATTTAATGGAAACTATCATTGTTAATTTATTATATAACTGTGCAGTAGTATATATTAGGCAATTAGTATTGACCATATAAATTAAAACAAAATAAACATACCTAAAAAATAATAAAAATTAATATTTAATAGTGCTTGCCATGTGCCAGGAGCTAACATGTGGTACTATGTTCACAACACATTTAATGCATTAAATGTATTAAATATAAACATAATACTTACATTGATTATAAAATACTTTTAATACTAACAATATATGTGTGTCATAATACATTGTTTCAAAGTAAGAATTCTATCAGTGGTATAGCTGGGATTTGAAAACAGGCTCTAGAGCAACCATGTATATTGTGCCTCTTAGATAAAGTTTTTAAAAGACATCTTTAAAGTCAATTTTAGTAATAAATATATTTAATGACAAATCTGTTTTACTGGAAAACTACTATTTTAATAATAAAAACAAACTATTCCCTTAACATAATAAAAAAAATAGAGCATAGGTTTTTAGTGCTAATTATTTTTGCCTCTCCCCCAGTTTTATAGCGCCAATTAGGTTGTTGGGTAGTTGTACTAAACATGTCAAACCACTTACCTATCTGGCCTCAGACTGCTCATGTAAACTGGACCTTGCATTGACCTGTTTTAGAGTTTAGTTTAATCTGGAAGCCTGTATTACTCAGCATATATATCATCTGCATATATTCTCTGTCCTATAGATATTCATAAAGATCTTTTCTCCAAGTATGTATTTAATAAAATATTAAACTAATTTCCATATGAATAATTGGGCTATGTTCAGCTCTGTCCAAAGTACATGAGTATAATTTTAAAATACTTGCCTGAATTGATTTATTCTAGACAAATTTCTCACCTATTAGTACAAGATGGGTGATACCTAGAAGTAGCTAATATGAATAAGCTTACACAGAAATACACTTCATAATTTAATTCACTTTCATTTGAACACAATTATAAGAACTTATGAACAAAAAATACTTTGAGATAAATAGTATTGCTAATCACTTACCACAAACGCTCAGCGTAATTACTGTTCCCAGGAGGAGGATGATCATTACACATCCAACTTTCATGAAAAGTCCATGATGGTGAGAATCTATAAATTTGGATAGATTTCACTAGTAAGTAAGCCCAGTAGAGAAATCCTTCATGGTGAGAGGTACCAGCAAGATGAATAAACTTTCCAATTTATCATGCTTATGAGTTACTTTTCTGTCAAATATACAGACCCAGCTTCCTCTTATTCACACACATATAAAGAAAGAAACCCACACATGTGTGTTTGTTCTTTGGTTTCTGAAAAGGGGAACCTATGTAACTGAATGAATCTGAGTTTTTCTTTGCTAAGTTCACAGTACATATTCCCCAGTATTGCCCTGACTTATGATCTACTCTCCACATCTCTAGGTTTTCATATTAGACTGTGAAAAACTCAATGTTTTCTAATAAAATTACTGACAACGTTCACTTATTTAGTTGATTTTGTTCTGAGTTCCCCTTATATAATACATCTATTTCCCCCTAATACATAACCATAATTTCAGAAAACCTTACCTTTTAAAAGAAAAGCAATTTTAAGGATTATCTTATTCAATGCCCATGTATTAAAATGAGAATATTGAAGTCCATAGTCACACTTTTACTTGATAGCAGAGCTGATATTAAACCTCAGGTTTCTTGACTCTCAGTCCAGTGCTATGTTCACTATCCATAATATCTCATTGTATTTGGGAGTTGGAAAGACAATAAATAACGACCAAATAAAAAACTGGTATTTTTACCTGACAGTTAATACCAGAAGTCTCTAGTAAAATTATAGTCCATCAATTCCAGTAGATATGCAATATGTACACACATACATATAATTCACTGAGAAAGTAATAAAAATAGCTGATGTTGAAATATAACCAATTACAAAATCACATGTCAAGACCAATTAAATGCCAGTTTATTTTGTGGATAATTCTTATAGAGTGCTTTGTCATATACTCAAATTATTATTGTTGTTATTTTTAATTAAATCGTCTTTAATGGGTAACTTACTAATTCTAAAAATATTAAAAGAAGTCCATATATTTTCATTCATCAAACACAACAGTTCTAGTTGTGGCAATCAGGGCACTTACAACAAAATCATGATAATATCACTACATCTGTTTCTAATATGAAGAACACAGATGACAGATCCCAAAAGTTAGAATAATAAAACTTCAGATTTCATAGAAGGAACAACTTAGAGATATTAGGTCATTCTTTTAGAGCTTTGAAGTAAGAGTTAAGCAAAGCATGAATTTGTGAATCTTAGCCTGGGGCAGTCTTAGTTCGGTTGTACTCTCTCACTGATAACCTGTTCGGGTTTTATGGTGACATTTTTTGTTTTATATCTTGGAGAGACAATGAATATATAAGATGTATTGAGTGTCTACTGATTGCCTGCTATGAATTTAATAGTGTTTGAAGTGCTGGGAATACAAAGATTAAGAGACTCAGTAGAGGCTGGGAATACAAAGATTAAGAGACTCACATACAAAGCTCTAAAAGGGTAAGGAACATATTAACTTTTAGGAGAAAGAGAAAGTCAATATTCAGAGCAAAATAAGTGCAAGGTGGAAAGTTAAATGTCAGAGACAAGTGTGAGGAACTCTGTAGGACATAAGAATCCTATGTATCAAATAGCTCTTTCCCTCCACAATGATAGGACATGAGAACAGCAGTTACATTTATCCCACACTAAACATACACAGTGAAAAAGGCTATATGATATTTGACTTCTAGTCTTAAACATGAATATAGGTAAGGACTTTAATCTTTATATGGTTATATTTTCTCCGTTTTAACATTATGAGATTGGACTAGATAACATCACATATGTTGCTCCCACATCCCTAAGCCACGAAGGCTTTCTCCATAAATAGAAAGAAAATTAAAGCCTAGAGTATAGGAATAACTTTTCTTGCTTGAGCTGAATTAATGAAATAAAATGTCTGCTCATAAAGGTAATTATAGCTTTGGTCTAGAACTAAAAATAAAACAACTCATCATTGAGATATTTTAGGGGTGGGGGAGAAAGAACTCAGTTCTACTCCATGTTATTTTTTAAATTATGTTTCACCATCTCATAGGAAATCAAAGTGCCTAGTCTAGGAATAAAAGAAATCAGATTAGCCTCTACAATTAGAGAGGTAAGGTTTAAAATAAAAAGTATGGTTCTCTTGAAATCAGAGAACACACATAAATTCATTGGATTGTTACAAACTTTTGAAAATACTATATAGAGAAGCAATGCAAATACAGACAAACAAAACATGAGATTTATTTCACCAGGCATGTGCAAAGAGTCTCTATATATAAACTTTATAATAAAAATTTTATCTCAAAGGAGAAAACAAAATGTAACATTGCAAAGAAATTCCCCAATATTTAAGGGAATAGAAAACATACTGACTTTGAAAACCTGTCATTTTTGAGGTGGTCTTGGGATTGAGGCACAATATTAACTTTAGCCATATGCCTATCCCCTCATATTCCAAAAATATTCAATTACTCAGTCATTAATTCTTAACTTCATGAAATAAAATTCTAACATTTCATGTTTTCATAATTTAGTTTAACATTTTTATTCTGTCAACATACAAATTCCAATAACAAGGTGCATGATTGGCATAAATAATTTCCCTAGAGTAAATGAATTTTTAATATTATGTTAAAATGACAGATTTGATTAAGGGTGGACAAATATGTAGAGCTGAAAGGGGAGACGAGTTTAGAAGGTGATGTGTGAGTATAGATGGTCACACAAGAATTACAGCAATAGAGAAGCTATAAGAAAAAACAAAAATAAAGCTCTGACTACGTACGTATTAACACCAAAATTACAATAAATTTTATGATCAGGCATGTTGTTTCATTGACAACCTTTATTCCTATTCTTACATTCAATAAAGTTTGCTTTGAACCCATCTCCTAACTGTTCCCAGTATGACATAGCACAGAAATAAAAACAAATATCAGAAATAAAATATTAATTCTAAAAGGCACCCTACATCCAACTTACCAGATTTTTGAGGTGGAGATGAACATCCTGAAGGGGAAGTCCTCACAGTTTTAATGTCTGCATAGACTCTATCTCCAGCCATGTCATAGAAGAGAAAAAGAGAGAAGCCCACAAATTATCTTCTGCTGAAAGGAGAAGTTTTTACTTCCATAAGTTAAGTACATGGAGATGTCATATTTTCTTTTGTTTCCCAAGTAAGTGCTGGACTTATTCTACAAATAAATAACAAAGCAGTGTATTTGGTTTTATCCATCAAAATAACAGATTTTTGAATACTTGCATGATATAGAAGAAAATCACTATTCAGGAGTAAATTTTTATGTTCATTTTCTGACTAAATTTGGAATAAGTTTAACTTTTATTTATACTATAGAAGACATTTCACGATTTTCTTCTAAGAAGTACTTTTTCTGGCTCGGCCCCTGTGGCTCAAGCAGCTAAGGCGCCAGCCACATACACCTAAGGTGGCAGGTTCGAATCCCCAGCCTGGACCCGCCAAACAACAATGACGGCTGC